GGTATGTGTGTATGCCGAAGCAAACACATGCGGGTGCAACGTCCTCTCAAAGAAACTAGTTGGTTTTTTAGTTAAATACCTCTTACATTATATTATGTTCCATGCGACAACCACAGCTATTTTGTTCATCACCACTGAATCTTTGTTTCTTTTATTTTATTTCATTAATTATTTTTCTTTATTGAACTGCAGCATACAACACGATGGTCGTACAGCAACATCGTTGCATTACTTTACATTTAATTTAAAATTACATCATCAAACACGCTGGTGGTGGGTCTATCAACAAACTAAAATTGTGGAAGAATAATATTTTGAAATAGATGGTAATATCATTGGACAAAAGTTGCCGAATTAAGTTGTTCATGAAGGGTGTGAATGCTAGATAAGAGGATAAATACCGTATGCAGACGATTTGACGACATGGTCTTAACGACAAACAGAGAAAACGTCTCGAACGATCAGCAAAATCGGCTATCAAACGAACAAGTGTTTACTGAGTGCGTTTATTGCATTTGCAGACAAAAACAGTGAAACGCTTTCCCGAKCCATTTTATGATTACCATTTAGGTACACGTTTCTGTACCTATTCATACGCGATTACAAAAGAAACACTGCCACTCGTTAAATTCGTTTGCATAGTGAAATGTTGCTTTTTTTTAGCAGGCATTGTATATTTACAATACGTGTAAATACCGATTATGTAGGTACCTATATTATAATAATATGATACTGATATTTCCACTGTATTGCGGTAATATTATATACACGCGAGGTTGACTATTATATAATATATATCTACGATGATAATTTACAGACTCTTGTTATTTAGCACTAATGCTAGACTAGTAGACCAAAATCTTCATTTGGATACAATTTCGTATATTTATTCAAAATATGATTTTAGAAATTTTTAAGTAGGTAGGTATACACAATAGACACGGTCATTGCCCAAATGTTTCAATTAATAACATACCTATCCCACMACTCAATGCTGTTAAATATTTAGGATTAATCCTTGAYCAAAAAATAACTTGGAACAAACATATAAGRGCTAAAAGATTGATCCTTAACGCTCGATCTAGATCGCTAAAAACAATATTATCGAAAAATAAATTTACGAGCTTAAAAACAAAACTACTTGTATACAAAACTCTCCTTAAACCAATATGAAACAACGGGTTACAACTCTGGGGATCGGCCAAAAAATCAAATTTAAACAAAATTCAAGTCTTTCAGAATATTACCCTTAGAAAAATTGCTAACGCTCCCTTCTACGTCTCTAACTTAACACTTCGCCAAGATCTAGATAATCTACCTGTTGTAACCGAAGTGAAACTATTTTACAAACGTTTTTTCAACAGACTTAAAAATCACCCTAACCCACTAATAAAAGAGCTRCATACCTTCTCACTCCCTGGAAATCCACCACGTAGACTCAAAAGGAAATGGTGTCGTGACCATTTAAATTAAATATCCCGCAACTACCCTAAATATAACGTCAAGTAAGTAAGTGCCACTAATGGGTGGCTTCTTCTTCAAGCAATCCATGTTTATTTTTTAACTCTTATCTTATACGCTTATTGTGCAAAATGTATAGATTATGTATGTGCATTTGTAAAATAAAAAAAAATAAAAAAAGGTATACACAATAAGACCTCAGTTTTAAATATTTTTTGAAAGTACATGTTTTTTATGCCATTTAATAGAATATGTTCTAATAATAACAGAACATTTGAACAATTAGTTTTTTAATTATTAAACTTAAACTATAGGTACTGAGGATAATTTGTCCCTAATAATAGTTATATATAACATTTAAAATTAATGTAATTTCTATTATATTGTATATTTATTACACTCACACACTTTTTAAAAATTATAAAATTTTAATGTAATAATATTAGTTATTGTGCATTTTAAATCATGATATGGTATCATCGAAACCTATTATCGTGAACAATATATTATGATTTGTACATAAAGTATAATACCTAACCCAGAAAGTACTCGTTCAAATATTAATTTAAAATTCATTAACATTTTTAGAAAAAAAAGATCTGCCTGTTACAGTTGCCTGTCTTACAGTTAACAGTAAAATAATGACCGTTCTCCTATATTATATTTCGAAAAAAGGATTTGTAATTACTATTCACAACAAGACGCTCTTCAAATGACATAAAAAACAAAAATATCCTGACAGTTATATAATCTTTGAGTATATTTACGAATTACAATTTCCTGAATAATTTGTTTGAATAATGCGTATATTATTATGATTATAGGAAATATTTGGTATGAGCGTGGTTGATTGGAATCATACAGTATACGGAAGTGATGTGATAACGCCGAGCGTAAAAATAAGATGAAAAACGTTGGCCACGGCAAGTGATAATAATTATAATTATGAATGCAACTGTTAAATGGTTTATAGGTATATGCAAAAAAAAAAATGTATACATGCGGCACTGAGGTTACAATATAATACGTTATGTTACTATTAAAATAATATTTTTTAAATAATATCGTATGACTATATAGGTATTACACTGTTTAAATACAGCCGGTGTTTCACAGATGTGTTTCGCACAACATATAGGGTCGGAGGTGGTCGTGTGTGGAGATAACCCAAAAAGCTGCTCCCCCCTCCTCGCGCAAACACACACGCAAGCACAGACCACCGGTATTTAGTCATCAGACTCGTGTAAAAAAATAATTACAATAATACTTATTGGAAAAAAAAAAGGGAAAATAATAATAATAATAGGCAACTTCGACAATAATACATACACCGTAGATGGCGTCTCGCAGACACGATCCTAACAACGCGTAAGTACGACCCCCGTGCCTATAATATTGTTGTAACTTGTTTTAGAAGTCTTCATTTTTGTTTTTGTTTAAATGATAATAATTATATTTTTTTTTTTCGACCATCAATAGATCTTTAAACAAAACAACAAAGACGACGACGACGACAATAAAATACCTTATTACATTATGTTCAGTTAACGTAAAATTAATTCCCATAATTTTAATAATATCGTGTTCATAAATATTGTTTTCGGTGACGGTGCGGTGTCGGAACAGTGAAACTCTCAGGATGTCCACGTTACAGGCCCGGCACCGTGGCCACAACATACCCGACGGCGTGACCACATTCAACGAGATCGAATATGATCGCGAGGGWGGAGTGTTCCTCAACCGGACCAAGATCGTGTTGCTGGTCATCATCGTCTTCCTGTTGTCTGCTTTTTCGGCGTTTCTCGGACGGTATACGGCTGAACGGCAACTAAGACAGGTAAATCGGAAACGAATCGAAGGGACTTCAAAATTCCTATTCAACTACGACGGTTTTGTTCGTTAAAAATTATTTTCGTAAAACATAATATTGTATGACCGTCACAACAGTGCTCGTATTCCTCTCTCCCTCTCTCCCAACACCGTTATCAAATACGTGTGTCCCATATCTATTTCCAAAACACAATAGGGTTTGAACCGAAAAAAAAACGATCGATTCCCAAAACAAACTAAAATACAGATTCAATCCGTAAATGATTTTAAAATACTAAAAAACCGTTTCAATAAAATATTATAAAATAATAATACTCATCGAACCTGGAATGTTTWMGAGAAGAGGTTGGGAAATTACATGGGGAAAAGGATTCAAGCCAATCTCCGCCTATATATACACACAGAAATGTAAATAATGCATGAAGATTTTGACTTATATAACTGTTTTTTTCCGTCGTATATATTAATTATTTTATAGTGTTWACGGGTGTAATCAAGCTAGAACTATACCTTTATTGCTGCTGAAGCCTTTGGAAATAATTAATCAGTCGATGTGTTAGAAACAAACATTAAATAATTGCATGCGAGCTATCATTTATTTTTTTTTATATAATATTATTATCATCATATCACATGTTTTTACGGATACAGGCACTACAGCTAGTGTACAGGTGATAAACTTATAGCCAGTGTATTCTTAAATATTATTATTTTATTCTATTTTATTTATTTAAAGTTGTGTTTGATACATTTTAATTTGGATACAATTCATAATAATATATACTTAAGAGGGCGTAACAGTAAAATATTGTATTCCTTTCATATACCCAGAGAAGAGAGACATAGTAAATACTATTTAGTTGTTATAAGTAGTAGGTTGATACACTTTATATATTGGTACAGAAGTCGCTTTAAACAACTTCTTAATTAAATATTATAATAACAAATTAGTTATAATTTAACTTCGTTACCCAATTTACAAATACATTGATTTAATTAATCTTATTAATTATATTTGATACATCGTCAGTAAATTTATAATACTAACATTCTAGTACATTTACAGTTTATGTTCAAGTATATAATTATACAGTGTGATATTAGACTAAACAGTTTCTTTTTTTATACTACCTCGCTAGAGTACATTTTACAACATATTTTTTAACTCATACATCTATGACCTACATAATGTATCCATAATTTGAAAAATGTTTGTAGATTTGAAAATAAAGCTTAAATAAGTTATTGAAACAAAATGTACATAATACAAATACATACATTTCAATGAATTTGTGAAAAAGAAATAGTTTTTGTTATTGTAGTGAACGATTCATATCTTTATTGAAAACAAGTAGGAATATAAATATATACTTAATTATAAATATATTTATTTATAGGCTATTATTTTAAGTTATTGAAATAATGAGAATAATAAAAATAAAAATTTGTTTGTTTTCAATGACTCTCCTCTTTTATTAAACCAAGGAAATTTTTTTTAGGCATTTTAATTGTTCTTATTTGCATTTCATACATAAATTAAGACAAAATCCRAACACCCGTTATTATGATAAATAATTATAAAATACACTTACTAATTGGTTATTGAATATTTTAATATATTATAACCCAATAGGGGCGACCGCCTCCCTCCGTTTTTTTCGGTGGGTGGGGTCGTAGGGGTCCGTGGGTACCCCAACAAACTATTTATGAATTATGTTCCTAATTCCTAACTTCTAAGCCATTAATATATATGGACATATGRTATTTGTATACATATGCAGCACTGTAGCAGTCCGTAAGGAATAGCGAATAGGATCATAAGGATAAACAACTAGCCTGAGTTAGTGAGTAAAGTTGGCTGACAATT